CCCAGACTGTTCCTAGAAGCTATGGCCCACAGGATGTGCAGGTGGGCTTTGATGGCTGGCCTTAGACAAGCAGGGTAAGGGACCTATCCATGGAAAGGCATGGGGCAAGGAGTAGATGGAATGTTCTAGAAAGCTATGGCCAACCTAGCCTATGCTTGGGCCTCACAAAGGGGCTAGGGGTAGAAATGGGAGGGGGGCAGGATCCATTTTGTGAACAAGAGTGGCAGATGGCAGGTTGGTTTGGGAGTTTGGGTCCAATCCCAAAGGCCTAGGGTACCCCCCCCAAAGGGCTCACAGCTGGTCCACTAGGGTGGGTATACTTTGCGGCTGGGTGGGGTTCTGAGGACTCACTTACCTCTTCTCTCACCCAGGCCACATACTGAGAGAAGTAGCCCATTTCCCTGGTCAGGAAACACTCCGAGGCCTATAGGAAAGAGAGAAGCCCAGGGTTGGCAGGGGTCCTGCCTCCCCACTTCCCTCCATGTCCGACGTCACCAGGATGAGCCTGGCTCTCATGGGAGCCACAGTCAGAGATGGGCTGGAGGGGAAGCCTGGGGTAGACACTCCGAGTTTGGCTCAAAGGCGGCACTCTGCCCCCAACTCACATTCCTTATGATGAGGTTGGTCTGGGCAGGCAGCTCTCCTTTTAGACGAGAGACATTAGCGAGGACCTCTGAGGTATCCACCTGCAGGAGACAATAGCCCAAATCAGCTATCCATCTGTCCACTCACCCGCCAGTCCATCCATCCATCCTACAATGTACCACACATCACCTTAATGGATGAAGGGCAGGCTCTAGGGCCCAGAAGCCAAAAAAGAGGTCCTCAATGATCTGACCCCTTTCCCGTTCCCCCTTCCCCCTCCAATGGGACACAGAGATCTCAAAGCAGCCAGTCCTCCTGTTTTCCTCTACTGCCCACCTGTTCTCATCCGGCCTCCCACTCCCATTAGTCACCTGCAGATTTGGGGCAGAGGACGCCAGGGCCCTGACACTGAGGTTGAGCTTGGCCTGTGGAAGAATCAGGGTTATGACACACAAGGATTTAGAGGCAGGAAACAGAGAATGTGGCCGGCCCCTCCCTCCTTTCACTGCCCTCTCTCCACCCCTCCTCTCCCTCCTGCCCCAGACTCCCTCCAAACCTACCACGAGACTCTGCTGGGGGACAACCTTCTCCTGGTAGAGGCTGCGGAGCTCTCTGGCCTCCTCCTGTAGTTGCTGCCTCAGTGCGGAGTCATTCTGAGGGCAGACGGAAGGGTTAGAACGGCTCCCATCCCAACAGGAAGAGCAGCCCTCCAAGGGAGGTGAAAAGTGTGGGCTCAGAGAGAAAATCCTCAAGCTCAGATGTTCCCTGCTCTAGGTCTGCCCCGAGCTGATGGAGGCTACGAAACTGAAACGTGCCGCAGGACCATGTAAGCTAAAACTGGCCAATGCTCTCTGCTCCACCCAGAGCCAAGGTGGCTGTGGAGTCTGAGATGTCTTAAAGGGAACTTCAGAAACTGGAGATGTCTGTAAATACAGAGAGTGGCTCCCTGTGTGAAGTGCGTGCATTGGAGGGGGGGGTGTCCCCACTGCATCTGTCCTGGTAGAGCCTGAAGCTGGCCCTGCTGTGCAAGGTTAGGCCAGAAACTTCGTCTGATCAGAGACTGGGACAGTCTGCAGATGCACGGACAGAGGCCCAGAGATTCGAAATGGCCTGCCCAAGGCCACACAGCGAGTGGGCAGCAGTGTCTGAATGAGAACTGGAGCTGCAGGCCCCTCAGGTCCAACAGCGGGGTGGAAGGCCTCAGCACCCAAGGCTGGGGCCCTCGGTCTCCAGCCTCCGTCCCCGCCCTCTCTCCAACCCCAGCATTGGAGTCCCTCCCGCCCAGATCTTCTTGATGGCGGTCTGGCTAAAGGGTCTCCGCTCCATTCTCACTTGAGCCTGGGCCAGTCCTTCCAGCTCCTGCGCCAGCTGCTCCATGTCAGTCTTCACTACAGGCTTCTGGATCTGAGGGGAAGACCGGAGACACCAAGAAGGCTGAACTCAGATGTCCCCAGATACCCTCAGCCTCTGAATTCCCAAATGTGTCCTGCATCAACTAAGTCCATTCATTTCCACCCCCCTCCCCATCTCAGCTCGATTATCTCAGAGAAAGTCTCATGTAGCATAAGCTGAACCCAAGCTTGCACATCCTCCGCCTTCTACCTCTCAAGTGCTGGGATTCAGGCATGTGTTACCATATCAGGCTTCAGGTAGTACTGGGGATTGAACCCAGGGCTTTGTGCATGCTAGGCAAGCGCTCTACCAACTGAGCCATGTTCCCAGCCCCAGCTAAGTCTATTGTGACGTGAGTCCTGGTGAGTTTGAGCTGAAGCTGTAAAGTATTTCAGAGTTTCCAATGGACTAGGAAAAAACAAACAAACAAAAAAACCCAAGATGTCCTCTAGAGTGATCTGAAGAAAAGCCAGTGTCCAGCTGGAGAGATGGCTCAGCAGTTAAAAGCACTGGTTGCTCTTCCCGATGACCAGAGTTGGGAGTTGGATTTCCAGTTCCCACTTGGTGGCTTATAACCATCTAACACTCCAGTCCCATGGTATCAGCTGCCCTCTTTTGGCCTCCTCAGGCACTGCATGCATGTGGTGCACAGACATACATGTAGGCAAAACACCCATGTCATGTGAGGAAAAGAATGAAACCCAGTATCACACCTCTACCCTCAGCAGCAGTGGGTTCAGGACCATGAACAGCAACACATACTCTTGCTTAAGGGACCTGGGGACATGCCCTAGTTCCTTAACAGGAAGAAGTCCCAGGAGTGGAGAGACTGTGGGCAGCTGGAAAGAGGCAAAACACACAGCGCCTGGCCCTTCTGTTCAGTGCCACATCCTGCTGGGGAAGCAGATGTGCCTGCCCCTCACCGACCTGTACAAGGAAGTCTCGGAAGTGGATTTTCTCCAGCCCGCTGCCCTGCAAAGCCTCCAGGTCCCGGCGGGCAGCGGGGCTCAACAGGTCTAGACCCTTCACATCCAACTTGAAGTTCTGCAGCTCTTGCTGAAGCTTGTGGGTGTACTGGAGGAGAAGACAGGATGAGGCACATTGCTGAGCCTGGTCGCTTGGCTGGGAGCCATCACCTGGTTCTCTAGGTGGACACACCCTCACAGGCTCCCAAGAGACCTCTACTCAGTCCCAGCCTGCTTCCAGGGACCATGTGATGACTGGGCTGTGACACAGACTTTCCCTGGCCACCTGATACAAAAACAGCTTTCTGGCCCTTCTTCCTCACATCCTCTGTATCAGGTCTTCACAGCACCTCATGCTCTAAAATCCCTTATTCCTGGGCTTGTCGATAACATCAGCTCAATAGTCCTGGGGACTTTGGCTCTTCTGCTGTAAGTCCCCTCATCTGGAGTGGCGCCTCTCCAGTGGTAGGGGAGTCCAGTTTGTAGACTTGTCAGTGAGTGAGTGAATGGGTAAAGGAATGGATGAAGAATGGATGACAGGTCCACATTTCCAGGAAAGACACCCAGAATTTGCCTGTCTTGTGGCTATGGCATCCAGCTTCAGTATCAGAGAAGGCAGCCCATCTCTGGTCACCTCTCCCCACTCTACTAGGCAAACTTCCTCCAGGGAGAGGGGTCCCCAACTCCCTTAGCAGTGGCATTGCAGGCATCACTGACAGGGATCGGACATGAAGCAGTAGACAGCCTGGCGTCCTGGATGGCACATTTTGCCTTTCTGATCTATGCTTATTGGCTTTTTGGTGTCTCTTCTGAGAAGTTTTTTCCAAAGTCACCATGCAACCTCAAAAAACTGCCTGGTCCCTCAGAACCAATGGTCCCTCACTGGTGCATACTCTTCTGTAAGATGGGCCCCTCCTCTCTGGGGCTGGGACCACTTAAGGCTGAGATGGCATCCAGCCACCAGGGCTGGAGATCCCCTGTGCCCAGGCTGCAGAGCCTCCAGCTTTGGGGCCACTGTTAAAGACGCGGGAGGGAAAAGCTACTGCCATTAAGCAAACATCCCTGGCCAAGGCTTAAAGTATCAAGTCAGGACTGATCTTGTTTGGTTGTCCCAGCCCTGACTTGGGATGGAGATGAACCAACAGGTTTCTTAGGAGGATCAAAATGAACTAGTTTTGTGTGGGCAGCAAGGGTGCTAGCTGGGGAGGGGGAGGGGGAAGTGTTTCCTAGGACATGCTTAGAGAAATGGTTCCTCAGGGACCTCTCCCCTCCCCTTTCCTAGGGATGGAGAGAGGGAAAGGAAAGGGGCATGTTTCATACACCGTTAGGACCACATTCTAAGACGTTCGCCCTTTCCTGGTCCTGAAGCTTTCTGTTGTCAGGACTGATGAGTGCCTCTGTTCTCCACCACTTCCACGCTGCCTTTCCACTCACTTCTGCACCAAAGTCCACTCTTAACTCCCTGCACCACTTCTGGCAAATGGGCCACCTGAGTCCCGGGAGGACGGACAGCCTGATACTCAGGGGTCGGGCTGGGGGTGGGCGGATAGAATCTGCCATGGCCAACTACTGGCTCTGAGGTGCAGCCAAGACCCCAGAGCGCTTTCCATCCGTGTCGCTCGGTGGCTCACTCCCGTTTCACTCCCAGCTAGGACATGCCACCCAGGACACACACACCCTACTCTTACTGTTCCTGTCCTCTCCTCCCATAACCTGTGCTGTATTATGCTTTCCTTGGAGCACATGCTCAGAGGCGTTCATGGCAGCCAGCTACTCACACACCCACTCACAGCCCTGGAATCTTTCATAGATCAAGCCCTGGACAGGCCCTGAGTTGGTTGCTAAGACCTCTGGCTTGAGGTCCCTCGATAAGAGATTTTTTTTTTTTTGAGTTCAGAGATAATGCCCCAGAAGAACAGAAGAAAGGAATGCACAGGAGGGGCGGGGGAAGGGGTTGCATCTTAACAGCCTTCTAGAACATTCTATCACCTGTTTGATATCCAAGTGCTTATCCAAGTCATAGGAGTCGTTGAGCTGTAGAACATTCCAGAGTACTGCCCCTGCCTTACACTGTCTGGGGAAGGAAGATACACATCAATGAAGAGCCCCCAGGGGTGGCAGGTGGGGCTGGCATCACCCTGAGGGGACACCCACTTCTGCTCCTCCCTCTATTTCCTCACTCCAGCCCCAACCCCAGGCCTCCCACTCACCGGTAGGCCTGTTGGATGCTGATGTTCTTCCTCAGGCCAAGAAGGTAGGACAGGTTCATGGATGGGGGCAAGTTCCCTGGGGTGTCTGCAAACTGCAGGTGGGCAGGAAGAAAGGGGGCATAGAGAGGTGAGGGGCAGAGCTGCCCTAAAGCTTGATGCCCCCCCCACCTCCGTTACCCCCTCCAATTCAAGTGACTCCAGGCCCTGATTCCTCATGGGGACTTGGCTCGTGAATCTCTGGCAGTGGTGCAAACAGGACTTTCGGAGTTAGGCGAGGGTGTGGGTGCCACCGCCTGGGGTCCTTGATGGGACCCGGGGAGCACCTCAGGGACTCGGGGCTCATGGGTGTCTCTCTCTTCACCCCCTCTCTCCCCTGCATCTCGTCCCCCTCCCTCCAGTCCCTCTCTCCTGTTTGCGCCTCTGGCTCCCACTTCCTCCTGACTCAGTTTCTTGGCCCAAGCTCCCATCAGCTCCCTCGGCGCTGGATCAGGCCCAGGCCCACCTCATACAGCTCTCCGCTCTCCCAGCTCCGGCACACCAGCGTCTGCACATTGCCGCCCACCAGGAAAGTGGCGAAGACGAGGAGGATGAGGGGGGCGGCGAAGAGGAAGCTGAAGGCCACACCTCTGGAGTTGAGAGACATGGCTGAAGGGATGTGGAAGCTGACTGCCCTGGACCAGTGCTTGTCCCCACCCACACCCTGGGACCAGCACGGCTGGCCACGAGCTGGCAACAAGGCATGCCTCCTGGGCAAAGAAGGCGAATCCAGCACTCCTGGCAGCTCCTTGGCACCCTCCCCCTCCCCCATCCAATTGCTGGGTCCTGCTGCCCTGGAAGCCGAGAGGAAGGACACCTGTTTGTTCAAAGAGCCATTTCTGGACTTATGGTCCGTGGAAGTGACCTGCTCCACCAGTGTTCAACCTTTCTAAGTCGTCACTGGCATAGCGAGACATGAGTCACCTACATAGATAACACTTCAAAGAGACTGCGCAGTCGGGTCCCTTCCACCAGGGCCCCTGACTTACAGAGCCTCTTTGTGCGTGGGCACAGCCCCATGCCGGGCCGTGAGGTTTGGAGAGTGACATGTGGGGTGGATTGCAGCTCCTCATTATTCCCTTTGACCAGGCACCTTGTGTGATAAACAGCCTGGCCAACCGTACGTGGCAGCCTTGGCCTTAATGGCCATCTAGTTTGAGGATGACAAGCAGATAATGCCTTTGAGGCTGCCTCCTGATGGTGGCTTTGGGACCGCCTAGACGCTGAGTTAGGGATTCTGGAGCTGTGTTTGGGCTTGCTGGGCACACTATAGTTACAACGGCTGTGGTTGTCCCTGCATCAGCCCAACCCCCTTAGACAGGGGAGGACACCGAGGCCCAGGGAGATCGTTGCTTTACCCAGTCACCCAAGGAGTGGGGACAAGGTCAGCACCAAGGTTCATTCCCCTGACTTGCCCGACTCCACTGTACTGGGGGGTGGGGGACGGAATCTGGCAATCCAGCCTTGAGAGCCCCTCCCCCTCCCGGGCCCCTTCTTACGCCATGAGGAAGCGGGCTCCAGCCTCGCCTCTGCTTTCTGAGTGGCTGGGGTCCTCCCTGGCGAACAACCCCCAGATGCCTAGGCTGAGGCCGAGCAGGTTACAGACCACGACAAGCAGGATGGCAGAGCACAGCACGCATCCCAAAATCCACCTGCCACAGAGAGAGGGTGGGGCTTACTGAGAAGGAAGGCAGGGGCACCAGAGGGCCGGCCAGCCGGCCGGGGACTTAGGCTTCTAGGTCCCAGACTGGGTCTTTAGGAGTAGGGGGGCGCAAACATTTCCTGAGGTCTCGTAGCTTTTACAGGGTCCCCAGGCTCAAGTACACAGCCAGGTGGGACATGGAAGCCATAAGAGTTAGGGTTCTTGGCTTAAAAGAAGGCAGCGGTATTGTCGGAAGGCCGGAAGTGGACAGGGATGGATGGGATGGAGGCTCAACACGCACTCACCTGTACTTCTCGTATCGTTTGACCTCCTTCAAGTAGGGGCGACTGCGCTGTTCCAGCCCCTCCAGTGCCTGGCTCCAGCGCGAAGCTGCCTCTGAACCTGGGAATCCTCGGGCCAGCATCCTCACACCTTCAGGCTGCTCAGCCAGTGCCTTTTTCAGATCTGCCCAGAGCTACAGGGTCTCAGAGGATGCAGAGGGCACCCAGGAGCCGGGGCCAAACCTCTGGGGCCCACAGAGAGCCCGCCAGGCAGGGAAGTCAGCCGTCCCCACCACTCTGCCCAGCTCCTCTCTCAGCAAGCCTCCCTGGAAGGGGTATGGTGGGGGAAGCATGCCAGGAAGGCAGCCAGGCCCCTGAGCAGGGCCTCACCTTTGAGCGCATCGGCCATCTCCACTGCAACCAGGAGCGGGAGACTATTGAAGGTGGCGTTCTCCTGCGGGACCAAGCAAGGCTGTGGCTATTGCTCATCACCTGGGATTCCACCTTGGGGTCTCCAAGTTAGAGGCCCAAAGGGAGGGTGCTGCTATTCGATGCTCCCAGCCAAGGAAGTGATCCTCTTGTTCCTGCAAACATGGCTTCTCCCGCCTAAGTCAGCTCTTCCACATGTGTCACTTATGAGCCCTCACACCCCTTCTACTCAGTCACCTCCTGGACAGCGGTGGCTTTCACCCTCTCGCCGGTCCCCACCCACCCCATCCTGACAACCAGCTCTACTCCTTCAATCCAGCTCCAACCTTCCATCTCCTTTAGTTCTGGCTTCCTTCTTCCCAGCCTCCCAGCATAGCTGACTCACTGATTCCCCAACTCCAGGCCCTGGGTCACAGGCTCTTCTGACTCACATGGCACCACCCCCACCGTGGCTGTCTCCACCCAGAGAGCAGGCCTGCCTTTCGGGGTGCAGTCAAAGCACCTGCTCCCTTGTGGCCTGAAGACCCCATCCCTGATGGGAGCCCAGCTCCTCTTTCTGAGCTGCAGACCTGCCTCTCCCATCTGACTGCAGTGAGGACGGGGCACCATGAGTCTTTAGCCAGGCAGCTGCAGGGTGAGGGTGGACTCACGTCCTGGATTTAGCTGGGTTCTTGTTTGTTTGTTTGATTGATTGATTTTTCGAAACAGAGTTTCTCTGTACAGCTCTGGCTGTCCTGGAACTCACCCTGTAGACCAGGCTGGCCTCGAACTCAGAGATCCACCTGCCTCTCCTTCCTGAGTGCTGGGATTAAAGGGGTGTGCCACCACCACCGCCTGGCTTAACCAGGTTCTTGTTCCAGAGAGTGAGACTGATGCTCTTCCCTTGTCAGTTCCCAGGCAGGTGGAGCAAAAGACCAGGTGACCAGGACAGGGCTTACCTCCTGGACCATGCTGGAGAAGTTGGCCTCTGGGACACCCTTCAGGCGATGCAGGACATCATCCACAGGGGGCACCTGAAATGGAGGGTGTCTATGATAGGAGAAGGATCCCTATGGGAGGAAGGAGGTGCCTCTGCACTAATATCCTCATATGTAAAATGGGGACCGCAGAGCCCCCCCCCCCATCACCCTGAGGGGCAGTGAGAGCCTAAGAAGCTAATACACATGAAGCTCGGGGCTATGTGTGTGGCCCATGGAGAGCTTTGGCTCCCTCTAAGAGCAAAGGGTCATTAACCCTGGGTGCTCTGGGAAGGAAGGCACAGCCTAAGGAAGGTGTTCCCTGAAAATTGGCCTCATGAGAGCCACTAAGATGCCAGAGGATTCCAAAGGCACAGGCTAGACCAGCCCTTCCAAGTCCCGGTAGGCTTGTTCAGTGCCTGCACCTGGCTGAAGTCAGCATCCAGCTGCAGAGCGCTGGCCCGGCTCAGGGCCCCCTTGCAGTCCCCGTGGCACCAGCCTTCCTGCAGCAGGGTGAGCAGGCGTTCCCGGTGAGCTTGCACAGGTGGTTCCAGGTGCTGCTGACCCTCCTGCAGCTCCGCTGAGGTGGCGTTCAGGGCTCGGAGGTGGTCTATGGAAACCTGCAGGGCTAAGAGAGTCGCATGTAGCCTGAGGGTCTCCTCCCCATTTCCTGGCGTCCTCAGCATCCCAGCAAAGAGAGACACCATATTATTCCCTCCTCCTGGCTAGAGGGGCATAAACTATCTATAGCCACAGTGGAAACTGCCGCTGGGCACATGAGGCCAGGAAGTAGGCAGGGATGCCACACACAGGATCCCAGCATAATGGGAAGAAAGGACTTGGGTGGGGCTGGGGTAGTACGCGAAACCCAGGGGTGGGGGATGGGAGAACTGGCTCCTGGAGGACACCTGCCGGACCCACCCACATACAGGGCACTGGTCCAACTCACCCTGGCCCAGGCTGTGCACTGATGCCAGCATCGGGTACACTGTGCTCTTGAGCTGGTTATGAATTATGTTCCCAAGTTTCTCACCGGCATCTGGACAACACAGGACAGTTGACAGGGATGGCCCCCCCAGGAGCTGAGGACATCCCCGTTGCCTCCCACGAGCCCTGGGCTCTGCAGGGTGGTGTGGGTGGTTGGCTGCTGCATGGGGAGACTCTTTTTGGTGACGTGGTATCCTGGTGAAGTCCAGGTTAAGGGAGCTGAGATGGTTCCCCAAGGCAGGCCAGGACTGAGGGACCTGGAGCTGGCCAGCTGTAACCCTCACCTTCCAGCTCCTTTGAGACTCGCTCCTGGGGCACAGAGAACTGCTCAGCCACGGCCTGAAGCTCCTAGGCAAACATGGGGGTTTTGGGGGGCAGGGGTAAGCCATCTTTCCTGTCCTTCAGCAGCCCCATCCTTCAGTTAGGTATTTCAGGGACTTTCCATCGGGTGGCAGTCACGTGCACACAGGAAGGAACACCCTCTCTGCTTTGCAGGTCTATGGGACCCAGAGATGCGGTTCTCTGGGTCTGTCTTGAAGCAGGGCACTCACACACAGATGAGGGAATTGGGTAGTACTCACTTCGGGAACATCAGACACCAGGCCTCTCAGGCTGAGCAGGGTCTCAGGCACAGCCTCCACACTGGGGCCTGTCTGACGGTGTGTGTACTGGTTTGTAGCAAAAGCACAGACCATACCAATCCTGAGGGCCGGAGGCAAGGAGAAAAGGGTTTGTGGGGTGCCCAGGAGCACAGGGCCGCCAGCCCGTCCTGCCCCCCGACCTAGGCGGCCTCTCACAGAAGCATGAGGGTCGTCAAGAGCAGGAAGGACATGAGGGTGCCACGCTCACAGGCCATGGCCTTGTGCTCCGTCTTCACTCTGCCCCCACAGCGCCGGCGGCATCGGCAGCAACAGAAGCAGAGCCCGGTGGTGGGCACCAACAGGAGGTAGAGGCCGGCGATCACAGCACACACCACGTAGCCTGCCTCATACCGAACCACCTGGGCAAGTCAGCGAGGCATGAGGGGCGGGGGACGGGGCAGCCCTGCCTTTCCTCTACTCCAGGGCAAGACAGAGGTGGAGAGAAAGCCTGTGAGCCTCTGCTTATACCCCGGTGAACCCCCGGGGCAGGATGCAGGAGGTCAGTGGTGTCCCTGCTCATTGCCGTGGTACAGATGAGGCAATCCAGGTCTAGGGGAAATGGGGATCACTGCAAACCCCACCACCACGAGTAAAAGGGAGACGCGGGGCTTGAACCCAGGAAGGAAAAGGATGGCAAACCCTCAGCAGGGTGGGCTGAACTGAGCGGGTGGGGCCCTGCTGCTCACCCTTAACCCCCTCCTCCCCCAGCACCTGCGGCTCAGACCTCACCTCATCCCTCTTCACGGAGGATGGATCATTCAGCAGGGCCTTTATCAACTCTAGGGAAAGGAAGCAAGCTGAGGGTTTGGGGACCGCCACCGCCTTGCCCCTGTGTCTAGACGCTCTATCGCCAGGCTAAGGGAGGTTCTTAGAAGGCAGTGTCATGTGGCTGTGACACCTTGCCAGGCCTCATCACGCCGCAGGAGAGGCAGCTGGTAGAGAAGGCCTGCAAGCGGACCTTCTGGACCCTTCTGGTAGGCTCTGCAGCTGGCCTGGTAGTCCTTCCCCTCCTCCGGCCTCTTGTGGCCCCCCTGACCCGGCACCATGACCCTGGGACAATGAGCCAGATTTAACATTATGTTCTCTCGCACCTAGCCCCGGCTCAAGGTCAAACAAGAAGGCTCGGGAGCTGCTCGTGGAGTCCCAGAACGTACGGAAGAAGAAGGCGGCTGTGCAGTGCCAGAAAC